AACTCAAATATTTACTGGTGGAGACCATTAAAACTCTAAAACTTTTTTCTGGTGGAGACCATTAATACTTTTGATGAAATTAAGTCCGGATGCTCCAACTTCCTATATGAAGGTATAGGTCGGTTGGTGGGGTTTTCTCTGGACAAACGTGTGATAACCTGGCAATATGAGTGCTTAATGTACCGCCATCCTAATTAAAACCCGGAAAAAAAGAAAGAAAAAAAAAATCTTTACAGAATATAGGAGTTACTTTACCACTCTAATCGGCATACGTTTTTTTTTTTAATTTAAAATATGAATTACAAAAAATGGGTGTTTTAGTAATTTTTATTTTCAAGTAGAAATTATGTATAGATCTCATTTTAAATAGACGCCTTTTTCAGAAATATAATTTACAAGTGTAAAATATCAAAAACCGTGTTGCACTGAAAAGACAAAATTTTAAATTTGTTAGAAATCAGAATAAAATATGTATAACACATGTTCGAGTTGTGGCTCATTGGGGTAATGCCGGGGGTTATTTAAAAACTCAATGGGTTAATAAATGGGGCCATCTTATATATAGTTGAAAAGATATTGAATGTACATATATATAAAACTTAAAAGGTCTAGAACTCCAAAACTAAAACTTTCTTGGACAAATAACAATATATTGAATATATGTATATATAAAACTTAAGATGTCTATAACTCCAAAACTTAAAAATTATTGGCCAAATAACAAAGATCACAAATCATAGAATTAAAAGGTCTATTAGTGGTACAATTTTTTTCAAAATTCGAGAGTTTTTCCTAATATAGTAATTTCTTTTTATACAAATAAAATGCTTCAGTAAGTTAGGTGATTTTTATTTAATTATAAATTTATAGATTTTGTAAACATTGTTTTCCTAAACAGCTGTTTAAAAGAGTTGCCATATTGTTTCTTTGTTTGTGTCAAAACAAATACATAAAATTAGTCATCATTCAATAAGAATCGACCAAAATTCTTAAATTATCATCTAAAAACTCGAATTTAGCAAGTTAAATAAACCTTTTCTTTTAAAACCCAATAAATTCTATAAGACCACAATATGAATCGCTTATTTGGCAAAGGAAAACCTAAGGAACCGGCGCCCAATCTAAACGATTGCATCAAAGGAGTAAGTAAAATTTTTTTATTGAAAATAAAAACTTCCCAGAAACTGTTTATAATGTAATCATCTTCTGCATAAAAGGTGGATGAACGGGCTAGCAATATAGAGGAGAAAATAACAAAATTGGAAAATGAACTGCGTAAATATCGGGAGCAAATGTCGAAAATGCGTGAAGGTCCGGCAAAGAATTCGGTTAAACAAAAGGCCATGAGAGTGTTGAAACAAAAGAAAGCGTAAGTTTATGAAATTAAAACTATAATAGATAAAGAATTTATATGTTGTACACCTTAGTTATGAGCAGCAAGCTGATGCTTTGCGCAATCAATCGTTTAATATGGAACAAGCCAATTATGCAGCTCAATCCTTGAAGGATACTCAGGCCACAGTGGCGGCCATGAAAGATGGCGTTAAACAAATGCAAAAAGAATTTAAGAAAATCAATATTGATCACATTGAGGTAAGGAGGGGAGGAAATCTGTTATGTAGTAAATATGTTTATAGTTTTAACATGTTTTAATTTTAGGACATACAAGATGACATGGCCGATATGCTGGAACAGGCCGATGAAGTTCAAGAGGCTTTGGGTCGCACTTATGGTATGCCTGAGGTTGATGATGATGAACTAGAAGCAGAATTAGATGCCTTGGGCGATGAAATCGCTTTAGATGATGATGCTAGTTATTTGGATGATGTTGTTAAGGCACCTTCGGCTCCAGATAAGGAACCTGGTGCTGATAGTTTTATACCCGGCAATAAGGTAAGCTGATTTCATAGAATTTGTTTTGTATTTTGAAATTAGTTTCGTATTGTTGAACAATCTTAAAAAATTCTGTTTTAAACAAACTCTATTATCTTTTACAGAATTCCATTGAAACTGATGAATTTGGCTTACCCAAGGTACCCACATCGGTAAAGACCTCATAAATTAAAACAACTCACATTGTAATTTTTTAGTATTTTTAACTACATTATCAAATTCTATGCTTTATTATTATTAAAAAAACTATATATTTTTTCTAAACTCAATTTTTTTTTATTATTTGTTTGCTTTAAAAATTAGTTGCTAACTGAAACAACAACAATTCACAAGAATATTTTTGAATAATTTCATCTTAGTTATACTAAAGTTTGTATTCACTTTATTTTTATAATATTATTTGTGTGTTAAAAGAATTTGTTTATTTTTATATAGAAAAAAAAAACAAACATTTGAATGAATGAATAAATAAATTAATTATAAAAAAAATTGTTTTTGTTTTAATAATAATGTAGCAAAATAGTAATTTTTATTACTTAAATATTAACAAAATTGGACAATAAGTATTTTGATTTCACATATTTTTCGATTTCTTTTCAATTTCCTTTTTTAGATTTTAGAGTTAAGAGAAAAAGAGATATTTGTTATTTAAACATTTTTTACAATTTATTTTTTTTTTAATATTTGTGTTTAATTTAGTTAAGGAAGACTTTTTTGGTTTAATAGGTTTTTTTATTTTACTTAATTTGTGTTTGCAAGTTGTTGAACAAAGTTTGTGTGTAATACACATATCAGATTAAATTATAAATTTATGCTTTATTTATAAATTGTACGTTTAATTATTTGGTGAAAAAGAAAATTGTAATAATGAGGCTGGCTACTGTATACATTAGTATACAGTGTTAAAAAAAAGCTTAACAAAAACTTTTTAAGCTCAAAAATAAATTTAGATAACTTCTTATTATAGTTTTATAATAAATTACTTTTTCTCTTCCCTTTTTTTATAACACTCTGTATGTTAATGAAATTTTAACTTATTTTAATTGTATATAAAAATAGAAAAGTCTTGTATTCGTATGTGGCCTATAAAATAATAAAAAGGAACTACACAAAAAATAATAATAATAAGAAATAAATGTATAATAGTACAATTTTAACTTAAAGCAGTCTAACGAATTTTAACTTTAAACAAAATATTTTGTATAAATCACAACTATAAACGTGGGTGCAAATAAAATATATTATAAATTTCCTGAATTTATTTTAACTTAAAATACTTAATCAAGGGTATTTGTTAAGAGGGAGTGCTTAAGATTAGAGAAATTTGAAACAATTTAGTTTGAGCGAAATTATTTTTTTTTTTAATTTTTGCATATTTTTTTTTCCAAAATCTTCTATTTTTTAAATAATAGTTTTGTTAATTATTCTCGAATTTCCACCAAATTTTTGCTTAATAATTTCATTAAAAAACTGACTTTTTATTAAAAATTAAGACTAGACTATAGTGAAGATTATATACCAGACTATAGTCTAGACCATAGACTAGATTAGACTGTAGTCAATACTATAGGCTAGACTATAGTCCAGACTATAGACTAGACTAAAGACTAGATTAACTATAGACTAGAATATAGTCAATACTATAGACTAGGTTATAGTCAACACTATGAACTAGACTATAGTCCAGACTATAAACTAGACAACAGTCTAGACTCTAGAATATAAACCTCCAGACAATAGACTAGACTATAGACTAGACTAGACTAGACTATAGACTAGACTATAGACTAGACTATAGACTAGACTATAGACTAGACTATAGACTAGACTACAGACTAGACTATAGACTAGACTATAGACTAGACAATAGACTAGACTATAGACTAGACTATAGACTAGACTATAGACTAGACTATAGACTAGACTATAGACTAGACTATAGACTGACTATAGACTAGACTATAGGACCAGACTATAGACTAGACTACAGACCACGAATAGGCTAGACTATAGGCTAGACTATAGACTAGATTATAGACTAGACTATAGCTAGACTATAGACTAGACTATAGGACTAGACTATAGACTAGACTATAGACTAACTATAGACTAGACTAGGACAGACTAATAGACTAGACTTAGACTAGACTAGACTAGACTATAGGACTAGACCTATAGACTAGACTATAGACTAGACTCGACGATAGACTAGACTATAGACTAGACTAAGATAGACTAAACTATAGACTAGACTATAGACTAGACTATAGACTAGACATGACTAGACTATAGACTAGACTATGACTAGACTATAGACTAGACTATAGACTAGACTATAGACTAGACTAGACTAGACTATAGACTACTATAGACTAGACTATAGACTAGACTATAGACTAGACTATAGACTAGACTATAGACTAGACTATAGACTAGACTATAGACTAGACTATAGACTAGACTATAGACTAGACTATAGACTAGACTATAGACTAGACTATAGACTAGACTATAGACTAGACTATAGACTAGACTATAGTAGACTATAGACTAGACTATAGACTAGACTATAGACTAGACTATAGACTAGACTATAGACTAGACTATAGACTAGACTATAGACTAGACTATGGACTAGACTATAGACTAGACTATAGACTAGACTATAGACTAGACTATAGACTAGACTATAGACTAGACTATAGACTAGACTATAGACTAGACTATAGACTAGACTATAGACTAGACTATAGACTAGACTATAGACTAGACTATAGACTAGACTATAGACTAGACTATAGACTAGACTATAGACTAGACTATAGACTAGACTATAGACTAGACTATAGACTAGACTATAGACTAGACTATAGACTAGACTATAGACTAGACTATAGACTAGATTATAGGCTAGACTATAGACTAGACTATAGGCTAGACTATAGACTAGACTATAGACTAGACTATAGACTGGACTATAGACTGGACTATAGACTAGACTATAGACTAGACAATATACAAGGCTATAGACTAGACAATATACAAGGCTATAGACTAGACAATATACAAGGCTATAGACTAGACAATATACAAGGCTATAGACTAGACTTTAGTCCTGACTATATACTAAACTATAATCCAGACTATAAACTATAATTTGATATGTATATCAGAATTTTTAATAAATTTCTAAAATTTCAATATAAATCTCAATTTTTACATTTAAATGGATGGATATATCACTTAATTCTGACTTTTTCATTAAAAATCTGAATATTTTAATAAACATTTTAAATTTCACTTAAAATCTCTCAATTTACGCAAAATATCACATATTTTATCTAAAAATACCAAAGTTTAATTCATTAAAAATCTGATATTTAACTAAAAATTTTGACCAAAAGTGATATTTTTTATTCAAATACGAATTTTTAAGGTAACTTCAATTATTCACTAAAAATTAAGTTTTTGTGAACAATCCGATTTTTTATTGAAATCCAAATTTGTTTAAAAACTAAATTTTTCACTAAAAATATAAATTTTTGTACAAAATCTGATCACTTTTCAATTAAAATTCACTTATTGACTAAAAATCTATTTTTTTTTTACAAAAAAACCGACTTTTCAGTTTTACACTTTTCACTTAAAATCTTAATTTTCACTAAAAATGTAACACAAAATATAATTTTTGTAAAAAATAGGACTTTAAAAGACCCATTTTTGCAAAAAATTTATATTTCATTAAAACCCCAGATTTTTCACTAAAAATTTCACATATTGTCCTAAATCCGAAAATTTTCATGTGGATACATCTTGAGAACCTAACAGAGAGATCAGAATTGGATTCAGCACAAAGAAATCTTTTAGGATAGTATACTCTGGTCACTGGGTGAAAATTCAAAACAATCTTTTGCTGATAAAACATTTCACTTCTAAGTGAAAAGTGTGCATTTTGGAGGTGACTGATTTTCCCTTTAATTCGAAAAGTAATCCATCTAAATCTTACAAAAACTAATTTTATTTCGAAATAAGAATTCTTAGAATAATGTAAACAATTTTTAGATTAAAAAACTTAAAACAAGAAATACTGCTTACAATACAATTTGAGCTATCTACAATTTAACTTTTAGTTATCTATAAATTTGTGCTAATTAACAAAAATTACCAATAAAAAAACAATTTAAACAAATTTCATAATCTTAAACACTCCCCTTAAAAAAGTGTGTCTTTATGCCTAAGAGGACTTACCATATAAATATAATTACTAAATCTTAACCACAGCCACTTAATCGACGTAAACGTATACGTTTAAAATATTTACCTGGTGGCGGACAATGATATGTAACATTTGTTACAAAATTATAAGCAGCATACATGTCATCGTTGGTGAGTTTATGTAGAGTTATCATACCTTTCAATGTACACGAGTGCTTATAACGCCCATAGTTAAATAAAGGATGATGATGTCTTTGTATATTAGCCTTTTCGGCACACATGCCGGTAACATAAACATCTTCCAAATATACTAAACTAGTATTTAAGGAAGCTTCGTAAAGGCGTGGTACCACATCCATGGACATTAGATAGCCAGAACCCGATAAATAAGTGGGATAATAATCTTTAGTGTACATATAATAAGGCATATACCATTTACTCTTGACATTTGCCAAAACGGGAGCTTTACAGAACATATAACCCACCATATAATTGGTGGTGGCATTTAAACGATTTATGGCAGACAAAGTCTGATACGTACGACTATCATAGTAATCTAAAGTTTCATTGTACAGTGGAACGGTGCCACCCAATAGAAATTGCAACAGATTGGGTACATTAACGAACGTATCATCGTCACATTTCATAAAGAAGACAGCCTTTTCAAAACATTTGTTGCGCGTTATCCATTTTAAAGCCATGACCGATTTGATGGTTAAATTATTGTAAGTATCTAAAAAATTTTCCTGTATTATATCATCATATTGTTCGGCTTCTTGTTGAAGACGTATGTGAGTTTCATTATCACCCCCGCTGCCGCCCATACCGCCAGCCGTGTCAATTTTTGTATGACCCAATAAAAATAATATTCTTACTGGCATTGTGGCTGGTGGAATTGCTGTCGTTTGCTAAACACAAATAAATAAACAATAGAAAGTGTTAATGACAAACTGTAAAGTAAGAAAAACACAAACAACTAGAGCAAAATTATAAAATAAACATTAAATAAAAAAGCAAATACAACAAAGTTGTTTTCAAACTAAGTTAAATACATTAGAGTAAATATATTAACATATAAGTATGTATAGTGTAATACTTTTGTAGAATTAGCTCACTCACATTGCCATTTAATTTGAAAAATTCTTGAAATAATTTCAATGCGTTGGGCGTTTTGGTTGCAAATATTTTGTCGCGTAAATGCGAGTGCAATTTCTACAAACATACTGTAATGAATGCCTTAGTATTGCCCCATGTTTCTCGTAAGTTTGTCTGAAAAAGAGTGAGAGAGAATGAGGAAGTTGTGGAGTTTATATGATTAGAAAGTTAAAAGTAATGGATTTAAAAAAGTAAGGAATTTTTAATGGAATTTGGTAAATGCTCTCGAAAATGTGTTTTGGTAGTACGTGACTAACGAAATAACTATATAGTCATCTAGCGTATCTATCTAGATAGCGAGTCGATCTAACTATCTATTATCGATGCTATCTAGCATCTATCTATCTATATCTCTCTATTATCGATGATTATCATCTATCTATCTAGGATCTATCTAGCGATCTATCTATCTACTCTATTATCTATCGATCGAGCGAGCTATCTATCTATCTATCTATCTATCTATCTATCTATCTATCTATCTATCTATCTATCTATCTATCTATCTATCTATCTATCTATCTATCTATCTATCTATCTATCTATCTATCTATCTATCTATCTATCTATCTATCTATCTTTCTATCTATCTAACTAACAAAGAGGGAAAATTGAACAGTTAAAAAACTTAATAAAAATTAAAAAATATCTGAAATTCTTTTAAGAAAAAAAATTCCAAAATGTTTAATAAATATTATTTCAAATACCGGAAAAACTTGTCCTGGGAATTCTATTAATAAAAACCCTAATTATGACTAATAACTAACTTGAGATAAATTTATTTTATACAATTTTATATTTATAATTCCCACAAAGATTTTAATTTTTACATTAATACATATGTACATATAAAACATATTTTTACATACCTTGCAACAAAATTATTTAAACCCGAACACACAACAATTAATATGAACATTTTCTCATGACATTTATGACGCGGTTCCAATAATGTCGTATCATTTAATGGCAAAACATAATCACTAATATTAAGTGACACACTAAAATCCCAATCGGACAAGGGATCTGTAAGAAGAAAACAAAAAACCACAAAAGAAAGAATATATATGTATTAGCAAAACAAAGGAGCAACAATTATTTTACAAAACAACAATGTAAAAAACAATCAACCAAAATCCACTACATGCAATGTATAAACACAAATTTAGTTTTAAACAAGTCAGAGTGCTATATTCGGTTATACTCAATCTTACACACCCTTCAACTAAAAGCTAGTTTTTTATTAACACGTCGTATTTATAAGATTTTACATTTTATAAATACTAAAGGCTAGAAAAAGTATTGCAAAATCATTTATAAAAATACTTATTTATAAATAAAAATAATTTATTTATGAGTTATTTATGATTAAGTGATTTATAGAAGAGGTCTTTATATGGGAACTATGACCGATTATGGGCTAATCACATAAAATTTTTATAGAACGATTTGTATATACATACATATATAAAACATATTCTTGTAGAATTTTATCACGATATCAAAATTAATAAATATAGCAATATCATAATAAAAAAATAATATTTTCACGAGTTTGAAACGAAATCTCGCTTACCGTAGATGTATTTATAGGATAATGATCCCGGGGTCTTGAGAAAATGATTTCAACAAACATACAGACGGACATAGCTTTATAGTGTCGAAAAATTGCAAACTGAGAAATTACAAAAGGAATGACAAACTTCTCACAAAGGTGTAGAGTATAAAAGAAATGATGAGAAATATACAAAGAAAAGAAATCAAAAAAATAAAATACTTACAATGTCTTGATGAGGCACCCGAGAATATAGTACTATAAAATGTTAAAAATAACAGCATGGGAATCATAAAAGCACACAATAATAGGCGTGTTAGGCGTTTTCCCAACCCACGATTTATGTGCAGCTTACGTCGATTATTCGCTGTTAAAGTAGCTGAAGTTGTACGTATGGCACCGGCTATTTTTTTGCGAAATTGCTTTGTGTTATTCTGTTTGAATTCAACGGCAGAATCTTCATGTTCATGATCACTATTATCATCACCATCGGCCGATGATGAAGATGCCGATGAGGGATTAATGGTTGAATTGGAACTGTTTGAACTTAAAGGTAATAGTGTGAGTTTTTCATACTCATAACGACCCATTGCTTGGCTGGTTTATTTTAATATTCTAATAATTGTATTATTGTACATTAATTTCTTTCTTTTAAATAGCTATACATTTTAACTGAAAAATAATTGAAAAAGTTTTATTTTTATTAAGCAATGTAGGTATTTAAAAAGTAAAACTAGTTATTAAAGATAAATAGGTACATAATTTATTAATCTTATCAATATTGTTCAAAAAAAGTACATTAAATATTTATCTATCTTTAAAATGTCAAAAAAACACAATTACTGTACAATATTGTAATTATTTATTAAATTCTTGTTGTTTTTGTTTATTTTTTACTTACCACCATCGCCCAACACCTTCTTTGCAATAATAATATAATAACAACAATAAATCAAGTACTTTTCTTATTGCAGTATAAAAGAGAACCGCAACAACAACAACAAAGTCTGGACAAAAGAGAGTAGTTTTATTTACAAGCAAAAGAAAAAAACACAAACTAAAAAGCGACCTTCAAATTATTTTCGTGTGCATTATATTATTTTCTTGTTTTTCATAAATTGCATAGACTTGATTACTCTTTTTTCTTAAATAATTACTAAATTATTTCATTTAACTTTCTTTTTTCACTTTTATTTATAATTTTGTTGCTTTGTTTATACAGCTTTTTTTGATTTTAATGTAGCACAAAAATTTTTATCACGCGACCGTCTGAATACCAAATGAAAAGTAAAAAAAATATATACTTTTTAGCACTACATATGTTGTTATACGACAAATCTAATAGATATTGTTTGTTATCAATCACATATCTCAATTATTCATTAGATTAGATTTATTATTTCCGTGTGTAAAGAAAGAAAAATATGAAGTTAAATCAGTTTTGTTTTCTGTTTACGATTGTTTTTTGTCCGTGCAAATACTGTGTTATTGCCACATGTTTCAAATATGATTGAATAAAGTTGCCACAAGCCGTTTTTATGGTAATGGTAATTCTACAAAATTGCAAATGTCAAAAACAGCTGTGTGAAAAGTTCCGAAAATGTATGTTGCCAGAATTTTAAAAAGATTTAAAGGAATTATGTATAAAAAATTAAGATTTTACAAAATGACTTTTAAGCAATCGTATATTTTAGGATATTGAACTTATATATAAGTTATTCACAAAGAAAATGTTTATTTTATAAACGGATTATAAATTAGATTTTGTATGGACATTTCGTTTTATAAACCTTTTATAAAATGAAAATGTTGTTTGTGAATAAGGGGGTTAGACTATAATCTAAAAAAGTCGATTTTCTAAATACACAAATAAAGGGCCAAATAGACTACACAAGTGGCTTGACAAACAAACATTGTACGTTTGTGCAAGCCTATTGTGTAGTGTATGAGGGTGTTTCGTGTTTGTACAAAAATCATTTTTACACAAAGATATTGATTTTTTGTCAAACCGTTTGTATGGTTTATATTCATGAATAATCATTTTTTTAAATTTACATTTCTAAGAAAAATTGACATCTGTATCTTTGCAAGTCCACAAAAACGTGAAAAAATCGGTGTTTGTACGAGCAATGTTTGTGTAGTGTGTGTGAGAATGAAAAAAAGTATGTTTGTCAAGCCGCTTGTGTAGTCTATTTGGGCCTTAAGTCGGTAGAAGTCGAAACAATTTTAAACAAGTCAGAAAAAGTTGAGATTTAGATACATTATTAAAAATCAAAACAACGAAAATTTTTAAAATTATAAAGTTGCGATTCTTAAAAACTGTATAGACGAAAATACGACTTTTTGTAATTTTTGAATTATTAGTTTTTCATTTCGTTTAACAATTTTTAAAGGGTTGACTTTTGTAATCTTTTTAATAAAATTTTTTTGATTTTTTCTAAATCGTTTTTGTTGTGTCTAATCCGTCTATCCGAATTTTTCTACATAAAATCTATAGTTTGAAAATTTATTAATAGAATCCTATCATATTATCTAAGTGTAATTGATTTTCACCGCAAACAACTTTCATATATATCAAATATTTTCTCTCCAACCAATATGGCATCCCTAACAGCTGTTGAGTGCAATCATTTTTCGAAAAGCCGGCAATTTTTTTTTCTGTGCAAATTTACTATTTTGTTTCCCATTTCAAAACAATTAGTAATATTTATAATTTTACAAGCAAAACAATGGCAACGGTTGCAGCCAATTCTTTAACTAGCAAAAGATGGCATAGTTTGCGTCATATTTTGGAAAGGGCAGGACCTTTTTGTAAATCGGATTTTACTCCCTCACCCGAAAATTTAGAATTTTTGCAAACTACTTGCAAAATTTTAGTAATTGGTAACAAGAATTAATTTATACACCAACTAAACATTAATAAGTAAATGTTACTTTAAATATTACAGGTGCTGGTGGCTTGGGCTGTGAGCTTTTAAAGGATTTAGCCTTAATGGGTTTTGGTGATTTGCATGTCATCGATATGGACACCATCGACTTATCGAATTTAAATCGTCAATTTTTATTTCGTCGCAGTGATATAGGTTCCTCCAAGGCTGAGTGTGCCGCTAAATTTATTAATAATCGTGTGCCTACGTGTCGTGTTACACCTCACTTCTGTAAAATCCAAGATTTTGATGAATCATTCTATCAGCAATTCCATATTATAGTGTGTGGTTTGGATTCTATAGTGGCGCGTCGTTGGATTAACGGCATGCTGTTATCCATGCTTAGCTATAATGAAGAGGATGGTTCTGTAGATCCTTCCTCCATAATACCCATGATTGATGGTGGCACTGAAGGCTTTAAGGGTAATGCCCGTGTTATATTACCGGGTTTTACGGCTTGCATCGAATGTACCTTGGATCTATATCCACCACAAATTACCTATCCTTTGTGCACCATAGCCAATACCCCACGTCTACCCGAACATTGTATAGAATATGTGAAAATTATACAATGGGATAAGGAAAATCCCTTTAATTCTGCCTTGGATGGTGATGATCCCCAACATGTGGCCTGGGTCTATGAGCGGGCCAGTGAAAGAGCCAGTCAATTTAATATTTCTGGCATTACGTATCGTCTGGTGCAGGGTGTTTTAAAACATATAATACCCGCAGTGGCTAGTACAAATGCCGTTATTGCTGCTGCTTGTGCCACGGAAGTTTTTAAATTGGCCACTAGCTGTTATGATAGCATGTCTAATTATTTAAATTTTAATGATATTGATGGTATCTATACGTATACTTATGCTGCCGAAAAGTCTGAAAATTGTTTGGCTTGTAGCAATGGTCTTCAGATAGTGAATATTGAAGATCCCAATACCACAACTTTGGAGGATTTAATTAAAATGCTGTGTGAAAGTCCTAAATATCAAATGAAACAACCGGGTAAGTGTACATTTAAATACTTATTTTGACAAACAATTAAAAGTAGAGGCTATGAGACTAATAAGAAGCTTCTTCTAATTGGAAATTAGTTTTCCGATATTTATTTCCAATATGATAAAAATTTTCAAAGTAAACAACTTGTTTAAATTATTATTTTTTTAATTTTATTTCAGGCATTACAACAATTATCGAGGGTAAAAATAAAACTTTGTACATGTCCACGGTTAAAAGTATTGAAGAACGTACACGCGGCAATTTGACACAATCTTTGGGTGAATTAGGACTCAAAGATGGTCAACAAATTATTGTAACCGATCAGACAACACCAAATACTGTAACACTACAGTTAAAATACAATGCCAATGAAGTCGAAATGAATTAAATTCATTAAAAAAAACGCAAAAAAACTAAAACAATAGCAAACCACAAAAAATAAAACAATTTAAACCAACATAAAGTAAAAAATAAAAAAAAATATACAACAGTAAAGCAAAAATAAAAAGAAAAACTTATAAAAAAAATTCATCATCATCTCATCGTACACATGCACCAAACTATTCACTTATCTCATCAATCACTGGCACATTCTGCAATTCCGAACATTTACGTTTCCACATTGCTAATTGTTCTTTTAGCACCTTTTCTTTGGCGGCGGCACGTGTTAATAAAACTTTAGCTTTTTGCAATAATTGTGATTTCTTTATCAATTGTTCTTTAACATATTTCAATTCATCTTGTGTTTGTGTATCCATACTCAACATTCTACCTTTATTCTCGCAATGAGGACATTTTGTTTGTAGTTTTAATTCTGATTGTAAAGTGGAAATTTTCTCTAAAGAATCCGTATACATTTGTTGTAAGCGAGCGGTGTCGTTGGTAGTAGTAGTCTCTGTGGAAGCCTGTTATAAAATAGTGTTATGAAAAGGTATATTTTCTATTTAACAATAATATAACTTACTCTTGATTCACATGACCGTCTACCATCTTTTAAATATTTATTTTCAGCTTTTAATTTTTCCACCAAATTTCTCAATGATAATATTGTAGTTTCTGCCGGTTGACCTATTTGGGTGTTTAGTTTTATACCACTACATTTGCATAATTCTTTGCGTGCTTCTGCCGAGGCTCTTTCTTCTTTTAAAGCAATTATATAGCTGCAAAGGAAGATTATTTGATTATATTAAAGGTATTTATAGTTTAAACTTTATAGTCTTTGTATTTGTTATTAATTGTGTTGAATGTTTTTATTATTTTTAGGTAAGTGGAGTTTTCTTTATAAATAACTGAAAATGATTTCGATAATGTTTTCATATGCCGTTAAAATAGCGTACACCGCCTGCAGAAGCAGCTTATTTTATCAAGAAATATGACTTCAATCGAATATTGGTTAAAATTTTTAAAATTAGATTGATTTTAGAAACTTGAATAGAAACATCTTCAAAATAATCATAATAAAATTCTAATGAAATTTCGAACTTCGATGTGTCGCCTAAAACTGGGTTAGAATTTTAAGTGTAAAATTCAATTAAAAAATCCAAAAATTTTGAAACTATTGGAAAATTTCAAATTTCCAGTGATATTTTCTAGAGAATTTCTAGTGAAAAATTTAGTTTTTATTACAGTTTAGATTTTTTAAAAATTTCGAAATTCTAGTGAAATGTAAAATTTTTAATAAAAATTCGTATTTCTAGTGAAATAACAAAATTCTAGTGACATTTCAAAATTCTACAGAGATTTCTAAAAATTTTCCAATTCTAGTGAAATTTCGAATTTCTGGTGAAAATTCCAATTCCTAGAGAAATATTGTTATTCAAAGGAAATTTCGAAATTTAAGAATATTTTCTAGACTGAAATACAAATTTTAGTGAAATCTTGAAATTTGGAATTTCTATTAAATTTCCTAGTGAAAATTTTAATTTTTATTCAAATTTAGATTTAGATTTTTTTCGAAAAAATTTCGAAATTCTAGAGAAATTTTGAATTTCTCGTGAAAATTCGAATTTTTAGTGAAATATCGTAATTCTAGTGAAATTTCAAAATCCTAAAGTATTTGCTAGAAATTTGGAAATTCTAGTGAAATTTCGAATTTCTGGTTAAATTTCGAAATTTTTGAATAACTTCTGGTCTAAAATGAACATTTTAGTAGAATCTAATGAAATTTCGAATTTATAATAATTCTAGTGAAATTTCGAATTTCAAAAAAAAAAAAAAAAAAAAATGTATATTTTCTGGTCAAAGTTTGAAATTTAAGTGTAAAAAAATTTCTAGTGATATTTTCTAGTGAATTTGCGAATTCGAATTTCTATCAAAATTTAGATTTTTGCTACTGAAATTTAAAATTTCTAGTGAAATATTGAAATTCTAGTGAAATTTTGAATTTTTAGAAAAATTTTGATTTTATGGTGGAATTTTGAATTTCTAGTGAAATTTCGAATTTCTAATGAAATTTCGAAATTTTAGAATATGAAATCGAGTGAAATTTCAATATTATAGAAAAATTTATATTTTCGAAATTCTTGTGACATTTCAAATTTCTGGTGAAAAAATTTTGAAATTCTAGTTTTATTGAAAAATTTTATTGAAATTTCAAATTGAAAATTCTAGTGAAATTTTGAATTTCTGTTGAAATGTTAAATTTCTACTAATTTACTTGAAATTTCGATTTTTTAGTGAAACTTTAAAATTGTGGTGAAATTTGAAAATTTTATTGAAATTTCTAAATTATTGTGATTTTGCAGTAAAATTTCGATAATCTAGTGAAGTTTCGAAGACTTGGTGACAATTCCACTGATATTCTATTAATATTTCGAAATTTTAGAATAATTTCAAAATTTTAGTGAAATTTCGAAATTTTAGAAAAATTTCTATTTTCTGGTGAAATATGAAAATTCTAATGAAATTTTGAACATCAAAATTTACTAGAATTCAAGTTAAAATAAAATTTAACTTGAATTTTTGAAATTTTTCAATTCTGGTGAAATTTTAAAATTTTGTTAAAATTTTTAAATTATAGTGAAACTTCAATATTGTAGACAAATTTCTAGTCTGTTCAAAATTTTAGTGAAATTTTAAAATTCTAGTAAAATTTTGAAATTTTTGTAAAATTTTGAAATTCTGGCAAAATATCGATTTTCCTCAAAATTTTTAAACTTTTAACTCTTTTTAAAAATCAAAATAAAAAACACATCTTCTATCAACTTTCTACTCACTCTTCCAAATGTTTAATACGTTTCTGTAAACGTTCCGTACCATCTCCCTGCCTTAGCAGATCATTATCCAATTGTAGCTGAAGATTTTTCGCTTCTAAACGTATATTTTGAGCTTCTACGGAAGATAGTTTTTCCTGTAATTTTTCCATTTCGGTAGTTAAAGCATTGCTGCCCTTGCCCTCCAACTCTAAAGCCATTATCTTACGCTGTTGCATTTCAATGCGTGCCTTTAAAGCCTCAATGATGTCATTATGGGGATTTTGTAAAGCAACATGATTAAAATGAGCTTTACTGCAGTGCGGTGGTAAGGAGCTACGTCCCGGCGAACTACACTCACTGCTGGCTCCTGTATATGTTTCAGGACTTTCGGAGGGGGTATATTTACCACCGTTACCACTACCCATACTAGATGTTTGATGATGTAAATTAGGACAGGAGGGAGTGCGGCAGCATTTCATGGAATGTTGAACATTGTGCTGAGTTATTCTACCCAATTTTGCCTCTAGAATTTGTTTATCTTTTTCCAAACGATTAATGGTGTTGCGGGCAGATTGTAAAAGACTGCGAGTTTTCTCTAACAAAGTTTCGGTTTCTTCTAGTTTGCTTTTAAATTTTTCCGCATTCTGTTGCCATCGCTTTTGTTTCTCCCATAAACCTACTTCATTGGCACTACGTGCTCTCTTGCTTTCTATAATAACCTTTTGCCTTTGTATCTCTGCTTTGGCATCTTCCAAATCCAGCTCCAATTGTTGTACTCTCCTTTGGAGATTTTCACTTTTAACTCGAGCATTTAGCTCGGTTTTAATGGAGACCACTGGACGTTTTATTAATTGATTGCGCAAGGATTGATTTAAATCTCTGGCTTGTTTTTCACGTTGTGTTAGATTGTTTAGTTGTTTGCGTAAAGCTTCAACTTGTGTTTGATAGATTTTATTAGTGGCCTCGGTGCGTGTTAGATCATTGGCCAATTTGGCTATTTGATCGGCTGAATAATTTGAGGAATCATTGATATAACGTTGTTGGTCATCCTAAGGAGAAAGAGGAATATTAGTATGAAATATCTATGTAATGTATAAGTAACGTACATGGAAGTTATTTAAGGTATCCATTAACTCATTTATATGTTTATCTTTCTCTTCTATTAAAGAGCGCAATTGTTCCATTTCCGGATTGTGGTTAATGCTAGTGGATTTCTCCCGATCTTGTAGGTATTTGATTCTAAACAAAAAGTTTACGTTAATTAAGTGCATCCCAAATCTGTGTCTCTGTTTAGTTTAGAATCTAACTACTTACTTTTCCTTAAGTATTTGTATCTCTTCCTCCTTTAGCTTAAAGGAACTCTCCCAATAACTGGCCTTTTCTTTAAGTTCCTTTAATTGTTTTGACAAATTCTCGGGTATTTCCCTATTATGTTCCACTTCATGTTTCTCTGGTGCCGAGGTATCTCTTTCACCAGCCGTTGTTGCCTTAACTGTATTCTCTTCAAACATTTCTTCGATTTTTTCATCGGTCATCTCATTTAAACTATTATCCACATTTTCCTCACCTCTAGCTGCCAATTCCAATTTCTCATTGGAATTACGTCTGACACTAAGAGTTTCCATTTTAGTTTTAAGTTCTAATATTTCTATATCTTTTGTTTTGATATTGAAATTTAGATTTACAATAGTGCTCTTTAAACCCTCAATTTCTGTATTTAATTTGTTCACATTCAAATGATTTTGTTCTCTTTCGGTTTGTAAAATATTTTGCATTTTTCCTATGGACTTATCCTTTTCGGTTAGGAGCGTATGGAAGGATAAAATAGTTTTCTGTGGAGGAATTTTTTAAACAATTTTAGAGTTATTAAAAGTGATTAAAGGTTAAAGAAAATTGTTGGATTTACCTCTATTACATCTGTTTGTAAACTGGAAGGTTGGGCGTGTTGTTCTGGAGAGTTTGAGGGCTTTTCCTGTTGCTCTGGAGTTGGCGGTGTTTTTGGTTTTGTTTTTAATTCTTGTTGTAATACCTCTATTTGTTGCTCAGCTTGTATGAGACTGAAGGAAAAAATTATAAATACGTTAATAAATTTTTATATTTATAGGAGATCTATATTGTGGCTTAAAGGTTGTAGTGTAGAGTCTTGGTAGTCATACCGTTTTCCAAATCCAATCCTACAAGAGTTTAGGTGACTTATTTCCAGCCATTTCTTATAGTAGCCTTCACAAAGAGATCAGTAATAGTCCAGTAACCAACCTTCTAAACTAATGGTGTCAAAGTCAATAGGTCTGAATGTTTCGCATAGGATCTATACCGATCTTTGGCAGTCATTCTAAATTAAAGCCGGTCTTAACAAGGAAATCAGTAATGGAATAGGCCGTGATCAGCCTTCTAAACCGATAGTATGGACATCAACTAGCACAATCGAGAAGACTGGTACATCTTCAGCTAGTTCTCCTAAAGGTCTCCTTAAGGAGATCTGAGTATTATCAGTTCTCTTCATCAAATAGGAAAGTGAAGAAATTTATCGAAATGATTCGTAAGAGAGGATTAGTAATGACAGCGTTGACGAAATATCGTCATCAGTGACAATACGAAGAATATATACTTCAATGGTGCAGACTGGGTTAAGGGGCTTGAAAGTTGTCAACTGTAAAAGAAGATCTCCTTGGACTTCTAAAGATCAAGATGATCAGTACTGATCATTGGCAGTCATACCAAAGGAGAGCTGGCTTAATTCCAGTCGGCTCTCTTAGTAGACTCCTTAAGAAGATAAGAAGGGAAATGTATCCGGAAGTGACCAGTTTTCTAAAGCGATGGTTTTGAAGTCACCAAGCATGATAAAGAAAATCTCCGGCTGGTCGTTCTAAAACTCACCGTAAAAAGATCATTAAAAGGGCCAGATCTGAAAACAAGAACTCCTTGGACTTCTAAAAATCAACAATTGAAAAGTTCTAAACCGATCGTCAACGAAGCCAACGAGCATGATGAACAAGTCTGGTACATCTCCGGCTGGTCTTACATAGGGAGATCTTTAAGATCTTAATTCCAGTCGGTTCTCTCTCTTAGTGTTATTCTGAAGGAGATAAGCAAGGGAAATGTCTCTGGAAGTGACTTGTCTTCTAAAGCGATGGTGTCGAAGTCACCAAGCACGAAAATCTCCTGTTGGTCGTTCTAAAGGTCGCCGTAAGAAGATCTTTAAAAGAGCCAGATCTGCACGATGAAGAAAATCTCCGGCTGGTCCTTCTAAAGGCCGCCATAAGGAGATCAGTCATCGATCGAAATGACCCGGATTCGCAGTCAGTTG